AGGAAAAAGCGGCATAACCATACTTTCGACGGTCCGCGCGGATTTCTTGGATCTGCGCTGGACCCCCCTCCCTGGCGCGGAGCGCGCCAGGGGCGGCGCCGGAGGCGCCGCCGGGGGGGGCCCAGCGCAGATCCGAGAGATCCGCGCGGAGCGCTAATAGTTTATGCTTACAGTCGGGATTGATTGGAGAGGACACGCGAGAGGACACAAGACCCTTCCGAGGGCCACGTTGCCACAGAAATGTGGGAGGCAGGCGTCGCGAACACGCAGGACACAAGAGTACTCCAGATTTCGTTTTAAAAGGGAGGGGGTTACAACCCTCCCAGACGAGAAGTTTTAGACCCCCCCAGACCATCCGTGAAAGGGCGGCCCTTTGCCTAGACCCCACCGAGCCCTCCACGACAGCTCAAATCGTACCCCTCCCCCAAAAGTGACCCCCTCCCTTTTATTACGAAATCTGGAGTACCCTTGGTTTGGCAGGGTCGACCTGCTGATCTGGCTCGACCGTATGGCTATATTTTTTTTCTCCTTCGAGTTTGGGAGGGCCCAGGGGCGGCGCCGGAGCCGCCGCCGGAGGGGCCCAGGGCCGATCCAGGGAATCCGCGTGGAGCGTCGAAAATTTCTGTTTGTGCCGTTCTCTCTAAAGGGGCCCCAGGACACACAAATAAATACACACACAAATAAATAAAACTATTCCCATATTTTGCCATATGTTCTGGGTTTTTGTCTTCCCCCCCATTTCCCATATTTTCCCATATTTTCCTGGGAGTTGACGATTACTTGTGTCTGTGTGTTTCTACCCCACCTGATTTATGCCGTTCTCTGGTCTTCGAGACCCGGGCCGCCGGAGGCGCCGCCGGGGCCGAGAGGTCCGCGCGGAGCGCAAACAGTTTCTGCTCATGGCGTGGTTTCTGATTCGAATCTCTGGCCCTCGCTCGGACGTCCATTCCCTGTGCTTTTTGTTCCGTTTCGTGCGTGGTTTCTTCGCCAGACTGGCCATCGCTCGGACGTCCATTCCCTGTGCTTTTTTCGGTTTCGTGCGTGGTTTATTCGCCAAATGATCAAGGATACTCCTCGATGGTCCTCGCCGAAGGAAACATGCACAAGTCCGAGCGATGCCGAGCAGATGATCAAGGGTGCTCCTCGATGGTCCCCGCCGAAGGAAACATGCACACGTCCGAGCGATGCCAAGATCTGGGAGGATAGAACTTCGTCCTCGCGCCCTCGCGCCACCCGCTCGAAAGCGGGCTCCGTGGGTGGGCCTGGGCGTCCCCCTGCGGGTGACCTGGGGGGACGTCCCTGGTGAGGCGCCGAAGGGCCCCGAACCCCTCGGGAGGCGACCTGAGGTACTCAGGAGGGTCGGTCAGAAACATCGGGGATAGGGTTGAGTCGGGCCTGTCCCCGTACAGGGGGATGTGGTAGGAACAGTCAAAAAGTAGTCAAGAAATATCCCACAATGGTCAACGCCATACATAAAAAGATTGGCCCCAGACAATGTTTTGACTCTCTTTGAATCTTCCTCCTGTAGAGGGACAGGCCCGACTTGAGGATATGAGTCTTTTCTACAGATGTGCCGAACCAAACCGCCTACATGTATGGTCCCTTGTGAACGGACGGGGCCCTCAGTGAGGCCACGCCTCCACTCTCGTAGTAGGGTTCGGGATTTTAATACACGAGGAACCAACAACGGCATAAACATGCAATTTTGGCGGTCCGCGCGGAGCGCGCCAGGGGCGGCGCCAGAGGCGCCGCCGGGGGGGCCCAGCGCGGACCCAAGAGATCCGCACGGAGCGACAAACAAACTGATGTTTGTGGCGCTTCCCCTCTCCGATCTTCGGGAGCGGCCAAGAGGGGGGTGTCCAAGAGGGGGGGGTGCAAATCATGACCGGCGGCATGTGCGCGGCCCAGCGGGGGGGCCAGAGACGTAATGAAATAAGAAGGGGCGCCATGAAATCTGGGGAGATATCATGGCCCCCGCCATGATATCCCCCCCCCCCTAGTCATCACCCCCCTCTTTTCCGCCCCCGAGATCTTGGGGCCAGGGGTTCTCTTAATTATGCCCGGTGAGCCTCCAGGAGACTCGCGCCGAAGGCCGGGAGCGCGGCGTCGTCTGCACGCCTCGCCGCGCCACGCTTCGCCCGGCTGCCAGCAGGCGCCGGGGAGCGATCCGTCGGGCGTGGGGCGCCCGCGGCCGCGAGTGGCGCCCGCGCTCGCGAGTCCAGGGGAGCACGGCGGAGGACGCCCTCCTCGATTCGGGGCCCACCAAAGAGGGGGGGACCTGGGGGGGGGGGGGTGAGTTCGATCCGCTGGTGCATCGAATTTCCGAAAGACGATGCCCCCCGCGCGCCCCGATTGTCGCCGCCTCTCGGGTTCCGGCGGCGGCCAGGGACCTCGTTCTGCAGAGTTTCTCGGCGGTCCGATGCGCCAGCGGACCGAACTCACCCCGACCTGTGGCACCCACCCCTTTGCGAGGTCCCGATCGATGCGTGCATCCAATTTCGGCCCCGCCTCCCTGGCGGCCCTGGAGGATGTCTCTCGGTTGCCGCGGCCCTCTCGGAGCGTTCCAGGACGCCCTGAGAGCGAGCGCTCTGGAACGGACCTATCCTCGTCCTTCTCCTTTTCCTCCTCCTCCTCCTCCTCCTCCTCCTCATCATCATCATCATCATCACCATCACCATCACCACCACCACCACCGCCACCACCGCCATCACCATCATCACCATCACCATCACCAGCACCAGCACCAGCACCAGCACCAGCACCAGCACCAGAACCAGCACCAGCACCAGCATCAGCATCAGCAGCATCATCATCAGCAGCATCAGCAGCATCATCATCATCAGATCTGTCCTCCTCCTCCTCCTCCTCCTCCTTCCGTCCGAGCCCCACCTCCCCGGCGGGTCCTCCCAGCCCACCGAGGTTTCCCGCAGGTCGCCGGACTGCGCGCCTCGCGCCTCGCGCCAGGCGCCTCTGCGCGGTGACCTTCGCTCGCGCCCTCGCGCGCCACCGGGCCGCAGAGAAGGGCCCTGGCCTCCCTTCGCCCAGTGGTAGGTCGGGCATGTCCCCTACAGGCGGATTTTTGGGCGAAGAATAAAGAAAAACTCAAACGCATATCTTTAAAATGGCCAAAAATAGTCAGGACATCGTCCCCGGACTATTTTTTTCACTATCTTTGAATAGTCCCCCGTAGAAGGACAGGCCCGACTTAATGCGGGATGACGATTAATAAAAAATGGGAGAGAACGATTAAAAATTAGTTTTCTGTTATTTCTGCACAACTCTCTGACTGAAGGAGAACGATTAAAAGTAATTTTCCAGCCCGCGGCCGGTTTTTTCTAATCGTCATCCCGGGCGCCGCCGCGTGAACACGACCCCCGGTCATTTATTAAGCGTCATCCTCCATTAGACCAGAGCCCTCCAGAGGATGCTGCTTCCGTGCGGGGCGATAGGAGCCTGCGGGCTCGGATGGGGTCCCTGTGGTGGGCTCCCCCAGTGGCGGCTTGCTCGTCCGGAAGCAGATGAAGGGGCCCCAGGACACACACACACACACACACATAAATACACACAAATAAAAGGATTCCCCATATTTTCCTATATTTGTTCTGGGTTTCTGTCTTCCCCCCCACTTCCCATATTTTCCAATATTTTCCTAGGCATCGACAATTAATTGTGTCTGTGTGCTTTTTCCCCTCCTGAGCAGAGGCACCCAGGAGGGTGAGATGGGAAGATGAGGGAAAAGGGGAAGAGGGTGAAGGAAGAGGGAACGGAGGTGAAGAGAAGGAGGGCGACGGGAAATCGGAGGAGGGATGGGCCATGGGAAACATTACGGAGACGGATGAAAGGGGGCGGAAAGGAACAGGTCGAGAGAGGTGCAGAGGAAGGTGGGAGTTGATCAAGAGCAGGATGAGCAATGCATTGCGGGGACAGGAGAGCGCAAGATACAGAGGACCTGTAGAGCCGAGATGCCGCGAGAGAGAGAGAGAGAGAGCGAGAGAGAAAGAGAGAGCGAGAGCGGTTCGGTCTTCCAATATCTTCCTTGAACTGGGTGTGTCACAAAAGGGAGCTTTTTTCGCATCGTGAGTATACGCGTTGGAAGTTTCACATGGAAACTCCAATGGTGTCTGTGAACACACATATGCATGCCAAGTGCATGCCAAGTGGCGCCATGATCCTAGGCTGCTGGCGCTGGGCACGCGTGTCCGAGCTCATGAAAATATGCACGCGTCGTCCAGGGCACGGAACCTCGAGAAGAAAGTCTTGAAAAGCACAAGGCTGTTCATTATATCGGCCACTCCCAAGGTCTCGCGAATGCTGTGCATCGAGAGGATCGCTATTCCGAGGTCGACGGCACGGATACCCGTCTTCGACGATATGATGGGGCCAATGGTGCTGCCGCACGGGCAATCGTTCTTGACGGCGAACTCCTGCACGGCGACGCCCGCCTGCCGGGCAATCTCCCGGAGCATGAAGCCGGTCTCCAAGTTGGTCGCGTACCTCTGGTTCTCGTTGGACTTGATCGCCGTGCCCTTGTTCATCATGGGCATGTGGCCCGCATCGTGCTTCCCGACCCAATTGGGATGCACTGCGTGCGCCGTGTCGGCAGACAGGAGAAAGCTCTTCCGGATCGACACCCTGTGCATCTCCTCGTCGCCCTTCGCGAAGCAGCCAGACACCCGCTCGACCGCCTCCAGCATCACCGGGGAGCCAGCGCCGGAGAGGCTGTCAGAGCCGACCTCCTCGTGGTCGAAGCAGACGATCATCGAGACAGCGGTCTCGGACCCGGTCTGCTTCGTCGCGTGCTCCAGGAGGGCCCGAGTGGCCGTGTAGCAGTGCACCTGGTTGTCCAAGCGCGGCGCCGAGAAGAACTCGTTGCGGGCGCCCCAAAACTGGCCGGGCACCGTGTCGCAGAGCGAGATGTCAAAGTCCTTGATGTCCTCCGGCCTGCAGCCGAGGGCGTCTGCAAGGACGCTGAGGAGCTCGGGCGCGTGCCTCGGGTCCGGCTGCGCAGCGCCGCTCGTCTCCTCCGGCTTGCCGCTGGCTGGCCTGTTGAGGATGTCCTCGATCGTGGTCAAGATCGGTTGGAGGTGGGTCTCCTTGTTGGGCGCGAACGCGTTGCGCTCCTCCGCACTCTGGAGGTGGATGCAGAGCGTAGGGATCCGCAGAATCGGCCGCTTGATGTGCACGAGCCGCTTCTTAAACCCGTCGCCGTCGGCCACTATCACGCTGCCCGCGACCGAAAGCTCGCGGTCGAACCAAGTGTGCCTAAGGGGCAACGGTGGGGGGGACCGCGATCCCGACTTCTCCTCCTTCTCCTCCTTCTCCTCCTTCTCATCCTTCTCCTCCACCTCATCCTCCCCCTCCCTCTCCTCCTCCTCCTCCTCCTCCTCCTCCTCCTCCTCGTCCTCCTCGAGAAGGGGAACATCGACGAGGAATCGGTGATTCATCGCCAACCGGTCGGCGATAGGTCCCCGATAGCAAACCCCCACGCTCCTGGGCGGGGTGGGGCCATCGGGCCCCTATCGGCGATGAGTGGACGATGCCCGTCCGCCCCACTCGTTGCCCTTGAGTGCCAGAGCCCACCACCATAGCACTGCACCGCCGTCTGCACGAATCCAGCACTCGACTTCTTCGTGCACGGCTTCAGTTTCAGCACTGGCGTGTCGCTGTGCGCGCCGATGACGTGGAAGCCGCCGCCAGCCTCGAACTTCTCGCCGACGACGAACGCGACCAGGGTCGACAAGTTGCGGGTGTAGTAGTACCTCCCTCCTGGCTTGATCAGGTCCCCCTTGCACCATGGCTCGGACTCCTTGAGCTCCTTGAAGCCCTGCGCCGCCAGCAACTTGATGCTCTCCGTGCACAGGTGAAAAGGGGTCGGGGTCTGGTCTGGCAAGGCTTTGGGTGGTGCGCTGACAGCCCCTGGATGTAGCCATGACTGGAAGAAGACAAAACGGCATAAGCAGAAACATGAACTTTAGGAACTCCGAGCGCATTTCTCGGACCGGTGCTGCCCCCCCCCTACCTTTCGCGCGGAGCGGGCCAGGGATGGCGCTGGAGGCGCCGCCAGGGTGGTCCAAGCGTCGATCCTGAAAATCCAGGCGAAGCTCCGAAAGATCACGCTTATGCAAATGACTGTTCTTCTTCTTCTTCTTCTTCTTCGACTGACTGCTCTCACCAAGCCCTTCGGGTAGTCTGCGGCGGTCTCAACACCAAAGTGCCGCCTCTGGTGTCGCTCCCTTGGGGACGCACTAACCCAGGTTAGCCAATGCCCTGTCGCGAAGCCAGGCCGGCCGCTAAGTAGCTTCCAAGCCCAGGTCAGCGGAGGTTCGAGGGGATTGGCTTACCCCCCTTAGCGCCGAACCCCCGTTACGTGAGCCCCGACTCCCCCTCCACGCGGAGCCCCCTGGTTGGCGGTCGACGACCCCTGGGGGCTGCTGAGGCCAGCCGGGACCACGGGACTACCTCGGGAGGCGCTCCGTGCACAGCCCTGAGCCTTGCCAGTCAGGTCGACGTAGCTCTTGAAATCCTTGGCCAGAAGCTCCACCGCCTGTGGAGTCGCGGGGCCCCAAGAGGCCGCCGCCATGTGCAGAGGGCCGGGGGCGACCCGCCCGACGCCTGCGCCACGCGGGTCGGCCCGGGCAGCTCGAGTGTCACCCCTCTTGGGCCAAGATTCCCACGGACATGTCCCTGAGCGGAAGGCGGAAAATGGATGAGGGTTGGGCCCCCGCAGCGGTCTTGTGAGGGACCAGTGTCCTCAGTGTTCCCGCTTGTGGGCCCATGACCTCAAGAAAGAAGACCCGTAGAAACGTTTGGCGGAGTCGTGTGTGTGTGGGACTCCGCCGTCCACATGGCTGCTTGGGAGCCTTGGGAGCCTGATGGACGGCTCTGGAGGCCGTGAGAATTCCGGGAAACGACGCCGAATTGGAGCCGAAAACGCCCCCCTCCCCCCACGTATGCAATGGTCAGAAAGAGCCATGCGCTCCAACCGTGCTGGTCGACACGTCGGTGATGTTCCAGCAGGCACTTGTGGTAACCACCAAGACGTGCTTTCGAGAAGCCTCGGGAAGTCAGAACATACCCTTCTGGACAGGGCGTCCAAAATGTGTTGGCTGGTGAGTGGGTGGCTCGAGGGGCCCCTGCTCCCCCCTCTCCTCCTCCCCCGCCTCCTCCTCACCCTCCTCCTCCCCCTCCTCCCCCTCCCGCATGCACACGCCGATGCACGCTCGCAAGCCCGCGCGCGCACGCACGCACATACATGCACACGCAAACGCACACCCACACACACACACTCACACACTCTCACACACACACACCACACACACACACACACACGCACACGCAAACACGCCCGCCCGCCCGCGCGCGCGCACGCCCACGCACGCACGCACGCCCACGCACGCACTGACGCACGCACGCACGGACGCCCACCCACATCCACCCACACCCACCCACACCCAACAACACCCCACCACACCCACACCCACCTACACCCGCCCACACCCACTCGCACCGCGCCCACCCACACACACACACACCCACATCCACCCACACCCAACCATACCCACCCACACCCACACCCACCCACACCCACACACACATACCCACTCACCCACACACACCCACACACACCCACGCACACGCTCACACACACGCATACACACACACACGCACACACACGCACAAACACACACACACACACACACGGACACCCACCCACCCACCCACCCACCAACACCCACCCACACACACCCGCACACACACAGCCACGCACACACATGCACACGCATACACACACGCACACACACACACACACGCGCGCACACACACACGCACACATTTTCCCGTCGGCAACAGGGCGGGACGATCCGCTCCAGCGTGGCAGCGATGCAAGGGCAACCCACACACGCACACACGCACACACACACACACACACATACGCACACACACACTCACTCAGACACGCAACCACCCACCCACATCCACCCACATCCACCCACACCCACCCGGGGGCCCACCCACACCCACACCCACCCACACCCACACCGACCGAGACCCACCCACCCACCCACACCACACACACACACCCACCCACCCACACACACACACACCCACACACACACACATTCACGCACACGCTCACACACACACACACACACACACACACACACACACACGCGCGCGCGCACGAACGCACGCACCACGCTCGCACGCACGCGCGCACGCGCGCACGCCCACCCACACCCACCCACCCCACCCCACCCACCCACCCACACCCACCCACACCCACCCACCCCCACCACACCCCACCACCCCACACTCACCCCACACTCACCACACCACCCCACACCCACCCAACCCCACCCATTCCCACACCCACCCACCCACACACCCACGCGCACGCACACACACACACTAACACACGCCCCCCCACCACCACACACACAACACACAACACACAACACACACAACACACACAACACACAACACATCACACACAACACACAACACACACCACACAACACACAACACACAACACAGAACACACACACACACACACGCACACGCACACGCACACGCACACGCACACGCACACGCATACACACACCTCATACACACACCAACACACACAACCACACACAAACACAAACACACAAACACACAAACACGCACAAGCACACCCGCACACACTCACCCACACACACACACACACGTTCACACATATGCACGCACGCACACGTACGCACACACACATATCCGCGCGCACACACACACATACACACATCCGCGTACAAACATACACACACACACGCGCACACACAGGCATACGCACACGCACACGCACACGCACACGCACACGCACACGCACACGCACAGACACACAGACACACACACACACGCCACACGCACACACACGCACACACAAACCCACACGCACACGCACACCCACACACCCACACACACAGACATACACACACAGACACACACGCACACATCTCAGACTGCGCCTCGGATTTACCCATCACGTGGCGCGTTGTCCCGTGAGCGCCCCTCCAGGGCAGGGAGGAAGAGTGGGGAAGAGGGAGGAAGAGGGGGGGTGAGAGGGGAGGACACGGAATGAGCATGTAATGCATCCTTGATCACACACGGGTGCGCCAGGAGGGAGGAAGAAGGTCCCCTTGAAGCCTCCGGAGGTCCAGGCCGCCGAAGGGCTCCACAGGGCAGGGCACGTCCCTGCCCGCCCGCACCTCTCGCAGCCTCGGCCCCCTCGCGCCTCCACCCCAGGCGGCCCCACCCCCGCGCCTTCGGTGGAGTTGCTCTGGAAGCAGAAGCCGCGGCAGAGCTGCATCTCGGCGCAGCGGTCCCTCGCCTGCTGCGCATGCACACGCACGGGCAGACGTAGACGCAGACACGCGCACACACAAACACACACACACACACACACATACGTACACACGGACACATAGACAGACCGACAGACAGACAGACAGACAGACAGACAGACAGACAGACAGACAGGCAGAGATACAGACTGACAGACAGACACGTGCACAAACACACGCGCACACAGTTCTCCTCGGCGACGCGCTCGCTGGGCGACGCACTGCCTGCAGCGTGCAGGAGGGGGGGGCTCCGAGGGACCGGGCGGCCGGCGCAGCAGCGGAGAGGGGGGCGGGAGGCGGCAGGGACTGGGAGCGGCGAGAGCCGCCTGCTCCGGCAGGGTGGCGGCACCCTCGCGAGTGCAGGGGCGGGGCCCGGTCGAGCACGAAGTTGCCAGCCGACGATGCAGGCGGGGGGCAGCGCAGGGCGGGTCGGCCGTGAAGAAGAGAGAAAGCACCGAGCTCAGCGGGTGGCAACAAGCAAGCACACACACACACACATCCACACTGTTACCTCCTCCGCAGCCTCACACCAACCAGTGGTGAGCGCAGAAACAAACACACACACACACACAGTCACACACACACACACACACACGCACACGCTTCGGCCTCTTCCACGGCGA